TGCGCAATTAAAAATAGTTGTATCTGGTGGAATTAAGAAGTCTTGCTGTGGTAATTAAAATAGTATCATCTGTTTGCGTTCCTAGAATATAATTTCTGCCATGTTAATAAGAGTACTACCATCTAGTGGCGTTCCTATGAACTAATGGAATTAGTGCCAACTGGTGGCGTTTCTGGAGACTAATATTTCTTGGTGCTAATAAATGTTTTTGACCTGATAATAAAATTTAAAAATACTGCTATCTGTTGTGATTCTGAGAACTAATAACTTCTGCTCTGCTAATAAGAAAATTTTGAAACAATCCTTGCCCAGTAATATTTTCGAATCAAAAATTATTAGAATGCCAGTAAAAATACCAGGTATCTAAAAAATTTGAGATATTTGAAGAACTTTATTTTTTGTCCTGCTTCCTCCTGTGGATGATTAGTCTTTTCTTCTGGAAACTTGTTCTTGAACTGCAGATCTTTAGTATGGTAGTCTGCTGTTTGGTCCCCTAGGCCACTGCTCTTTCTGAAGAGATATGATTTCAGAACTGCCTTAGTCCTCTAGGCTACAGAACCCAAGACTGCTAATATACCCTTTGAAGTTCCTGATGAATTGTAACTTTCATCCTTGCTTCTGCAGCTTGATGCCAGTCAGCTTCAATAACACACTACTTAAGACAAATGCACGTTAGATTCCAATCTTCCAGTTGGTACACCACCACTTCTAGTCAAACCCGTGTTCTGATTTCTATGAAACCACTATTTTCTTCCATGTATAACCCACCTTAGGATAAACCTAAACAATATCAAAATGACTCCAGCCAGTGAGTGCTGTCTTTCTGACACCCATGTTGAACAATTGAAGAAAAAGCTCCACATTCTAACACAGTAAGGTTACAGCTGTTTGTTCATAGGGTAAATTGGCAAGGTCCCTCATTATTTTCAAACCCAAAAACTCCTGGTTAAAATGCTATGTTTTGTAGTACTATTAAGATTTATAATTTATTATGTGCAAAATCAAAATCAAATTTGGGACAATTACTAATTATTACAGATGCAACTTTCATGAGCCATCAGCTCATTTTATAAAGTTAAATCCTGTTCTCTCGAGATCCACAAAATTCTGCCAAACTATGGTAGGGTTAGGTAAGTATGTTGTCTAAAACTGTGAAGCTACACAAAAAAGGAAACATCTCTATGACCTAAAGTATATTTTCATTAAAATGTTAAACAAAGCAATATTGTACTGAAAAAAATTGCTGACTGCAAATAGATTTAAACAATTTTTTGGGAGAAAACTATTTTCTCCTATGCCATGACACTAATCTGAATTGCCTAGCTGCACTTTTCAATCAGCATACCATGTGGGCAGTGCAGAAATAGTTGCATGTAATTATTGATAGAGCAGTGACCAAATGGTATTACCATTCACAAAAGAAGTATATCTGGGTACAAGAAAATCAGTTTATGTACTACAGCAAACTTCTTAGCTCAGTTTCTTAAACTGCAAAGCAATACAAGAAGTTTTAACAAAAATTTACTGCAGGTTCTAGATTACCCTATTTGAACATTTTTAAAACAGAGCAACCCTACAAAAACATTAAACAAAGTGTAGAATATTTTCCACAAACCGTCTGCGCATGGCATTTTCATACTTTTGATCTAGGAAATTAAACATTAAATGAATGAAAACCTAACCACAATTTTCAAAACTTCCAAACACATTTCCTCAAACTCTCTCTCCAGACAGCCATAAACACTAGCACATCATATGAAACAAATACCAAAAAAACTAAATTCCATGAACATTACAACTGCCAACATATTTACAGCAAATTCTAGCTCTAGTCAAAATTAAAGAACCATGGGGAAAAATAAAAACCCCGGCATTCTGACTGGTACAATATTAAAGAACAAATGCCTACAATGGAGAGCGCAAAAGGGTCAACAGATGTCCAGCCATCATGTAACACTGATTCGCAAACAAAATGTTAACAAATTACACTTTCCTACACCAAAAACAATTAACATTATTCATGGTTCAAAGCTTCTTTATTGGCCCTTGTATGTTACCACTTTGAAGTTATGTACAGAAGCTGTTACACTGTATTAACATATACCTTTATTTCAGGAACACAGAAAATGAAAGGAATGAAAATAAAAAAGTCCCTTTCTCTCCCATTATTCAAACAAATTTCAACAAAGAAACTTATGTCATTCATTTTCTGTTTACGTAAATTCCTTCATTCGTAATATCGACAAGTAATAAAATTAAGATAGCCGGGCTAAAACTGTAGGCATGAAAGAAACCAGCCTTTCCTTCGAAATTCTTTACGATGGAAAAAATGCTTCAGCAGCCACTTGGAAAGAAAGAGAAGGCAGCTCATGTTGAAAAAGCGATGGAGAGCTACTGGCGGTGCAGAGAGCTGCAATGAGACAACCGCCACTGATGGACCAATTAGCACACCTAGTTATTTCTTCTTCTGGGCCTTCTCAGCAGCCTTCGTTACCTTACCACTTGTAACATCCTTAGTGGTGACACTCTGAAACAAATCATTGCATACCTTTTTAGCATACACACAAAAATTAATTAAAAAACTTGCTTCACACCATAAAAAATGGGCGAGTAACAGCATTTCAGGTTTCCCTCACCTTGATAACACCGACTGCAACAGTCTGCCTCATGTCGCGCACAGCAAAACGTCCAAGTGGTGGGAACTCCTGGAAAGACTCCACACACATCGGTTTGCTGGGAACAAGGTTAACAATAGCCGCATCACCAGATTTGATGGACTTTGGATTCTCCTCAGTGACCTTACCTGAAAAGACACGTGATGCGGTCTGCTATGAACATACACAGCATTCAGTTAATAAAAACGAGAGACCAGCAATTCATTCAATAAAAGATTAATTACCAGTACGACGGTCACACTTCTCCTTTATCTCAGCAAATTTACAGGCGATGTGAGCTGTATGACAATCTAGGACTGGAGTATATCCATTTGAAATCTGGCCAGGGTGGTTCAGCACAATAACCTTCAGTGAGAAGAGATAGAAAAAATCAAATACAAGACTTGACACAAGACATCACCCATATTCAAAAATCTCATATTATATAAATATCAGTTCTCCTTAAAATATATTAACCTGAGCAATGAATTCAGCAGCTCCTTTGGGAGGATTGTTCTTGGAATCTCCGGCAACATAGCCACGACGCAGCTCCTTAACAGAAACATTCTTCACATTGAAACCAACATTGTCACCAGGCACAGCCTCCGTCAGAGCCTCATGATGCATTTCAACGGACTTCACTTCAGTAGTCAAATTTGCAGGGGCAAAAGTAACCACCATGCCAGGTTTCAATACACCAGTCTCGACTCGGCCCACAGGCACTGTTCCAATACCACCAATTTTGTATACATCCTAGAATAAAGAATTTGATTATTAGCATATTTTAAAAATTTCAATTCAACCTACACCTCCAGAACCAGCCACGAATTTCACCTGTAGAGGAAGACGAAGAGGTTTCTCTGTAGGTCGGCTTGGGGGCAGGATGGCATCCAAGGCTTCGATGAGGCACCTGCCATCAGCCTTGCCCTCCTTCCTCTCAATTGACCATCCCTTGAACCACGACATTTTGTCAGAGTGCTCCAACATATTATCCCCATGCCAGCCAGAGATTGGTACAAATGCAACCGCAGCAGGGTTATAACCAATCTTCTTGATGTAGTTGCTAACTTCCTTCTTGATTTCCTCAAATCGGGTCTAAAAGGAAATGAATTATTTTTAAAACCCTGTATTATTTTATGAAGGGTGGAGGTTATGTATGTGATCCTGAAGAACTCACTTCACTGTATGGTGGCTCTGTAGAGTCCATCTTGTTAACACCCACAATCAGCTGCTTCACACCCAAGGTAAAAGCCAACAGTGCATGCTCACGTGTCTGACCATTCTTAGAAATACCAGCTTCAAACTCGCCAGTACCAGCAGCAACAATAAGCACAGCACAATCAGCCTGTAGGCAACAAGTAATATTTAAACAAGCACTTGATAACAATGTCGTATGAGAGCAAATTATGACGTTCACTAAAACTTTGAATTCATAACCCTCTTTTATTTAATTCTTATCCCATGACCAATCCAAAGTGTGACTTAATACACAAAAATATTCCTGTCATACCTGAGAAGTTCCAGTAATCATGTTCTTTATAAAATCTCTGTGCCCAGGTGCATCAATAATAGTAACATAATATTTACTAGTCTCAAACTTCCACAGCGCAATATCGATGGTGATACCACGTTCTCGTTCTGCTTTCAGCTTGTCCAAAACCCAAGCATACTTGAACGAACCTTTGCCCATCTGTAACAGAAAACACCTGTATCAGAGTTGAAATCAAAACCAACCATAAACAACGCAACCACATGGCAATCATATACCAACTAAATTCAGGCCTGGGACATGAGATAAGCCGAGAACACCACCTTGGTACAAGTTTTATTATAAATTAAATCAGCTCAAACTGAATTGGGGAAACTTTCAAAATATGAAACTGCAAAACCACCACAATAGAAATATGAGACAGTGCCATCAACAGACCATAAAAACTTACCTCCTGGGCTTCCTTCTCAAACTTCTCAATTGTTCTCTTATCAATACCACCACACTTGTAAATCAAATGTCCAGTAGTAGTCGACTTCCCAGAGTCTACATGCCCAATGACAACGATGTTAATATGAATCTTTTCCTTGCCCATGGTGATTGACTGGTGTACTGCTTGCTTTCAGTATGACTGAAATGCATAATACCACTTCAGTAATTACATCAAATATTTATGTAAAGCATTCATAAATTACAATTAGATGTGCCTTCAATGGATCCCAAATGGCATATTAAGTCAGTTTACAAATATACACAAGTACAGACAATTTAAATGTTTTTTAACAAATACATTAACATCTGAAGTGATATGTTACCGCCACGTGGGGGCCGACGTTTCCTCAAAACCGGATGTCAAATTTACTTACGCCAACAGATGCTACAGGATTCTACACTTTTCTTTTCCACCGCAAATTGTTAGGCAGCCAGGGGCAATGCAAAATGCGTGCAGTCCAAAGTGAAACACAATGCGATCATATGCACTAATTTGGGTGTGAAACGATGACGTAGCATGCTGCAACTATTGATTGCCAAGTGCAATGCCCGAAAGTAATGTTAATATATCTCGTCAAAATTTTTTCCACCTCATCATATACACACGCATGCATACGTAAAATATACAAAATACATTTGGAAATCATGTTCTATGACCGTAAAATGCCAATACTTAAACATACAACGATAATTATGATCCCAACTGGCAGACATCTTTTTAACATGGCGAACAATAGCAATATATTTATCTGAAATTCACTCAACGAAGAACATTTTATACCAACACTTACCGAAACTAGCGTAAGCACATTTGCATTACTGTCGTAAATAGAAAAACACATTTTCCAAAAAACATCTGTAAATACTCAACGAAAGGCATGCATGCGACATCACTACCGGCAGAACTCACATAAAAGATGGTCAAATTTTTGGAACGCGCTACCTGAAAATTATATACAAACTCCGACATAAATATTTGTATAATATTAATTTCACACCTTGTATATACAAATTTCAACGCTACCTGAAATTCGATGCACATTCCCAAGTAGGATTATAGACGGATATTTCTAACAAATCTAACAGTCCTACTCACCTCCAGATGCCACGGCAGAAAGAGAACGACAGACTCCACTGACATGCGCACTTCGAGGGACTAGGTAGTCGGTCCTAGAGGGGTCCTCGTAATGAAGACGAGCACAAAATCAATTCCTCTACATTCATTTATGGTATGTAGTTATTGATTAATTACAAAATATGTACATAATTGGTGCTTAGCGAAAACAGTTTGCTCTATATTTTATAAATGCCTTCCACAATTTTAAGTATTACAAATTATATTCATTTGGGGATGCAAGCAAACGTAATCCAACAGCCACACAGATTATATATCATAGAGGATAACTGAACCGCCATTTACAAGTTCTGCCTGGAAATAATTACGTAGTATGGCTTCATAATAATTGAACGTTCTTAGAATATGGCCAATAAACCACTGCAACTCTTTTTACAGTACTTAACTGTACCAATTTATAATTAAATAGTTATGCTGGTTTATGTCCCACACAATATCTAATGCTGTATTGTCATATGGATTAATCTTTTGGGGAAATTCAACAGACAGTAATAAAGTTTTTTACATGCAAAAGAAAATAATTAGAATAATGACCGGTGTCAAAAGCAGGGTATCTTGTAGAAAATTATTTCGTAAATTTAATATACTTCCACTTGCAA